TTTTTAATTATCAAGAAGACGATGTCAAGACTAATCTTGACATCTCAATTTTATTAATCCCGTCGTTAGTAAAAGTTATTCGCCTGCGCAGAGATAGTTATAATGGACAATGCAACGATTTATATCATCGGTGCGCACGTTCCTTGTATATCGCGCGATGCGCTCCCAAGCAGGAAGGAAGGTAGAAGCAGAATGCGCACGTGTGGGCAGGTGAGATATCGGGTAACATACCTGGACATGCCCGCGTGTTTTCGCTATTATACGAACGTCCTGCCGGTATCATAGAATAACACGATTTTTAAATAGCTTTCTTGAGTTAACTAAAATTTTTTTATTTTAAGATAATTTTTTTCTCAGTGTATTAAGTATATGCATCGCGCGAATCAAATTTAAAATTTTTAATACAAGTTCTTATACAAAATTATCGTTTTAACAAAAGAATTTTATCGCTGATCCTCTCGTCACATAATATTTTCAAATATTGCTAATTAAATATACAGAATTATCGAATAAGAATGTGAAGATTCGATGTGATAAGTCAACGATTAAATATTAGTTTCGCAAAATTTAACGATCACCTTCGATATTATGGAATCGCGAGTTAATTATTATGAATTTAATAATTTGTTTTTTCAATTATAATTGTAACTACGAATTTCGTATCGGAAAATATTCATAAATAAATTAATAAATTACGATTGCGAAATCACCATGTTCTTCCCGCGTTCTTTTCATTCACGTTCTTAGACGAGATTGTCGTTTCAATAAAAGAGTTATCGTTGTTCCTTCCGTTAAATAAATTCCGTTAATGAAAGTTGCGTGGCTCGTACCGCCGAGAAGTCGAAACGATTTTCATCATGGAGAATTATTTCTCACTTTTTATTGTAGGATTGAAATTAATCCCAGGTTTTCCTGAAAATTTCCGAAAGCAATGATTTCGGTAGTAATTCAACGACGATATGCTTCTTTAACGTCGAATTAATTTAAATAATATATATTTAGATGGGAGAAATGTATCCTTTTTTTTTCTTCATTAAAAATGTTCTATCATTATTAGGATCGGTATTATTATTGCCTATATTTATAATGCCAGAAAAATTTAATAGTAGATTAATACATGAACAAATTAACGTATCTAAAATATTTTTATAATTGTTGTTAATATGATATATTATATATACGCGTAATTATACATGAATGTTACATAAAATGTGCGAATACTTAAAAATTTAGAGATGAATCGAATGGGTACACCTATATAAGTAAGATATTGATTAAAAGAAAAAAACATTATTAATTTAAACGTTTCAAGAATAAGAATCTAGATAATTAATCTAGAATTATTTATATATTTAAAATTATTTCATTAATTTTATTTTGAACGCTATTCGAAATTTTTTAAATCTTGCTGGTATCGGGTTCGATTTGTCTCGCGCGCGCAGACGGTACCCCTGTCTAAATTATGTGTTTGCACATTTAACACATATTCCAATAATGTGCATGTATTTTATTATTTATAAATATAATCGTTCGTAATCACATTTCAATAACAAAGGTTATATCCATTGAATTTTCAATGAAGAAATATATTTCTTAGTAATGGTAGAACATGTTTTCTGACGTGAATATCAATTTCGTGAATTAAAAATAATGACGAGGGATAATTGTGTCTTTGATTTAATACTAAAATCATTGCTATCGAGAATAGTCCGGAAGATCCAGGATTCGTTCTCTCCTACAGTGAAAGCGTCTCCCGACGCTTAATGGATCACTTAACTTTTCTTCGCAGATTGATCTTGCAAAATCTGATGTAGACACGAAATGTCAGTCGTTCTCCATTTTTAAGATCGCTCCTCTTTTTATCGGATATTACCGGTATGTCACTCGCATATCTTCAATTGAATATTTTAAATATTATCGATTTATTTATTCGTCGCGTTTTCTCGCGAATTTTAAATCTCGATTTATCTTATAATTTAATCGTTGACTTATACGTCGAAACTTTGTCTATCTTTCCACGTCTTTGAATATTGTCTTTTATAGTATTCTGCGATAATAGGGCATATATTTTTTTTACTATTTAAGAAGATGATCGATAATTTTATTAATGATTAAAATCGCGATTATTTACATCATTATATAAATCTTATTAAACTCTACTAATACATTGATAGTTAGAGATATAACTAGATAGTTAAATTATTAGAGACAGAGAGACTTTGATAAAATTATTGGTTCCGTTATTCTCTATTAAACCGGTTGTTCTCTATTAATTATATCACGCGTGTCTATTAGGGGCTTCGATTATATTATAAAAATTATACATATCGCAATCAAATATTCTGAATAGTGTCGATTTATTTATTTCGTCGTATCTTCTCGCGAATTGTAAATCACGATTTATCTTCTTAAAATTTCTAATAAATTCTACATTCGCAAACATTATAAATCTCAAATGTCTCGAAATATCTCCGCATTTGTTTGATAATAATTATGTCGCGCGTGTCTATTAGCGGTTTCGATTATCATATTACAAATATTATACATATCGTAATCAACTATTCCTAATAATCGATTTATTTATTCGTTATCGCTCTCTCGCGAATTTTAAATTGTTATTTATCTTGTATTTTGATTTCTTTACATTGATTTACATCAAAGCTTGATCTATTTTTTCGCGTTTTCAATATTAATAATCTACATAGTAATGCAAATACTTTCTTCTACAATCGGAAAAAATATCAATAATTTTATTAATAACACCTTTGATCACGATTATTTATGTTTAAGCGTTATTTATATAAAACTAATTTCTATTCTTAAATTCTATTATTGTATGTCGCGTATTAATAATAAATATCGCGTAATTCATCATCGCTAATCAGCCTTGTTTGGACTATGTAGAAATTTTTAATACATTTTATATTATACGTATATTTTAGATTTATTATACATATATCTTGGACTTTTAATAATTCTTTGTAATAATTTAAAATTATTCTTAGAAAATTAAATTGAATTTCTTTTTAAAAATGTTTTAAAAATGAAATTTAAATTATCAAAATTATTTTCAAGAAGATTAAACAATTTGCATAATTATTTTAGCATGTCATATTTGATTTTAAAAATTACAAATATATCATATAAATGTGTAAATGCTATCAATATCAAATTATTTATGTTATTAAACATTTGAATAAACCGAGTACATTTATTTGATATTGATAACATCATAAATTATATTTTGTAAATTGTACTTTATAATTTATAAATTGTGTTTTGTAAATTGTAAATATTGTAGTTATAATTGTATATTAATTATAACTATTTACAATTATACTACTTACTACTATTACTAACTATTTACTGTTATATTACAACTATTTACATTATAATTATATATTAATCTAATATTGATATTTTTAATTATTGACATAGTTGCGTATAAAATAATATAATTATAACTATAATTATATTATATGAGGGAGTCCGGTGTAGGCTGTCGTGGCGTGTGGACGTATGTCAGGTCGCTCCGCCTTTGAGTGCTTATTGGGGAGTGTAAAGTAAATTCTTTATGTCTAAAACTGAGTGCTAACGATGTGAATAGTTACGGCGAATACTGTGGCATATAAATTGGATGCGTTAAACTCCGTTGAAATCATCGAAATATATTATACGTGCTCAGGGACGTAGAAATGTGACGCAGCCTTTTACAATCTACCCATAATTGCACAAGTGAGAATCGCTCGATAACAAAATAATGGAATAAACCCAAAATAAGGATCGGCACGTGATATGCAAATTAACACCGGCGAAAGAGGTAACGTTTGACGTTGAACGAAATCGTGAGCAATGAAAACGTCGCCTCAACATTGACTTTCACGGAAAGAGAGAAGGTGTAAATAACGACAATATTGAGTGTCAACAATAGAAGCCGATGTTCCAAAAATAAACGGTTAATTGTCGTTTACGCGATTTTGAGAAATTCAAATTAATAAATAAAACAGGAGAAGGCCCGGAAAGACAAAAGGAACCAAAACGAAAAGGGAGGCCGACCCACGCGGAGCACCTTGGAAGACAAAGGGCCAATAGTTGCGAGTCGATAGTCGACTCGTTTAAGAGGAAGAGGGAAGAAAAGGAAGATAGGATAAGAACAGAGAAGGAATTACTTGAGAAATTCCAAAAAACAAGAGCAGTGAGCAGGTCACCCCCAACGAAAAGAATAGAAAAAGCAGCAGAAGAGACGCAAGAGGAGAAGAATACAGGAAACGAAGAAGGGCTAGACATGGATAAAATAGATAAATTGACAGAGATTATACTAACAATCAAGAATGATACAGAGGAGATAAAGAAGGAAAACAAGGTAATAAGACAAGAAATACAAGACTTAAAAGAAGAATGGAAAAAGAAACAAGAGGAATAGGAGAAGGAAAAGGAGATAATAGTAAATAGGTTGAAGGAACTGGAGACCAAAGAAGAACAACTGGAGAAGAAAATGGCAAGAATGATACAACTGGAAGAGAAAGAAGAGGCAAGAGAGAGAAGAGAAAGAAGGAACAATATCACTTTGAAAGGAGAGGATTTATCGAGAGAAGGCCCACCTAAGAGAATAATAGAACAGATAATGAGACAAGAACTGCAGGTAGAGGCGGACGTGGAGGAGGCATACTGGATAAGAAGAGAGCAACGAGGAGGAATGTTGATAGCGAAACTAAAAAGCTGGCAACAGAAAAGAGAAATTTTGGCAAAGAAAAGTAAATTGAAAGGTAAGAAACTGTACATTGACAACGACTTAACAAAAAAGGAAAGAGATGTACAAAAAGAAATAGCAGAAATCGCGAAATTGGAGAGAGAACGAGGAAATCAAGTGAAGATAGGATACAAGAAAATAATGGTCAATGAAAGAACTTTCAAATGGAAGGAAGGGGAAGGACTGAAAGAATTTTTTCAGAACAGGCAAGCCATGCAATCCAAGTAAAATAACAACGGTCCAGTATAATATGAACAAAGGCAAAGTCAGCAAGGAAGTACAGAAAGAGATAAAGGCAATATTCTGGAACACGGCAGGAATTGCAAGGAAAGACGAGGAGTTTTGGGAGTACATACAGGATTTTGATATAATTAACTTTACGGAGACGTGGATAGAGGAGAAGCAATGGAAAAAAATGGAAGCCCTGATGCCAAAGGAATACAACTGGGTAACACAGTACGCAGCAAGAGACAAGAAAAGGGGCAGAGGAGTGGGAGGCATGATAACAGGAGTGAAGAAAAACATCAGGATGGAGGAAGTACAAAAAGAAACACAAGGAATAATTAGTTATGGTGTAGAAATCAACGGAGGAAAATGGAAAATTATCTCAATTTACAACAGAGAAGGAAAGAAGAAGTCACTAGAAGAACTGGAAGAGATAATCGAAGGCGATGGATGGAAAAAAATGATAGTGGGAGGAGATTTCAACGCTAGAACAGCAGAGAAAGGAGAAATAGTTTGGGATGGAGAGGAGGAAGGAAGTAGGAGATACTCGAAGGACAAAATAATGAACAAACAAGGAATTGATCTACTGGAAAAAATAGAGAAGCTGGGACTAGGTTTACTGAATGGAAATAAGGAAGGCGACGACCAGGGAGAATAGACATTCACAGGAGCAAGAGGAAATTCAGTAATAGATTATGCAATTTGTAACGCGGAAACATGGGAAGAAATAAAAAGTTTCAGGATAGGAGAAAGGACTGAATCAGACCATCAACCTTTAGAGATAGAACTGAAAGCGACAACAGAGGAGATAAGAGAGAGAGAAGAAGTAAAAGAGAAAGAGATAGAAGATTGGACAGAGGAGGGAATAAAAGTATACCAAGAAAATCTCAAGAAGAGGAAAGCAGAAAAGGAAGAAATCCAAGAGGAATGGGAAGAACTAGTAGAAGAAATCAAGAAAGCAATAAGCAAAAAGAAAGTCAAGAACAAAATGCAAAAGGTAGGAAAGAAACCTTGGTGGGACAAAGACTGCAGAAACAGTAAAACGAAACTGAACCGATCCCTCAGGCAAATGAGAAAAGGAAACATAAAGAGGACAGAATTTATAGAAGAAAAACAAAGACACAACAAGCTCTGCGAAACAAAGAAGAAGGAAGAGAGAGAAAGAGAGCAGACCAAAATCGCAGAGATACAAAATGAAACAGAAATATGGAGATATATAAAGAAGGAGAGAGGCCGACGAGAAAAGCCAGAGGACAACATTGAGGAGCAACAATGGAAAAGATACTTCATGGAACTACTGGAGGGAGGTGAGACGAGAGGAAATAACGATGCACGAAACGTGCGAGAAGCAGGAGGTAATCAAGAAATGCCACGAGAGGAAGAAACAAAGGAGGAGGAAGAGGGATTCACAGAGGAAGAGATGGAAAACGCAATAAGAAGACTCAAGAAGAAAAAAGCAACAGGTGAAGACAGGCTCAAAAACGAAGTGTGGATAAACGCAGATAGGGAAACAAAAGAAAAATTGAGGAAAATAATGGAAAAAATATGGAACGGAGAGAAACTGCCAAGAGGATGGAAAGTAGGCATGATATACCCAATACATAAAAAAGGAGACAAAAAAGAAGTGAAAAACTACAGAGGGGTAACATTACTAGACACGGCATACAAAATCTATGCAATGATTCTGGAAGAAAAACTGAGGAAGGAAGTTGAGAGACTAAAGCTGCTTCCAGAAACGCAAGCAGGTTTCAGAAAAAGGAGAAGTTGCATAGATAATATATTTGCACTGAAAATAATAGCGGAAAAAACGATAACGAAAAAGAAAGGAAAATTCTACGTCTTTTTTGCGGACCTGAAAGCAGCGTTCGATAAGGTGAACAGAAAGAAGCTATAGAAGGTTCTGGAAGAACGCGGCATAAATAGGAAACTGATCAACAGAATAAAAGATATCTATGAAGAAACGATCAACAGGGTAATTGTAGGAGATAAATGTACAGAGGAATTCTGGACAGAAGGAGGTCTGAGGCAAGGATGCCCATTGAGCCCACTCCTATTCATAACATTCATTGCGGATGTGGAGGACTTTATGAAGAAAAGACAGAACGGAGGCGCAAGACTGGGAAGGAGGAGAATATTCACTTTGGCGTATGCGGACAACCTAGCGATGATGACGGAGACGGAAAGAGAAATGAAGAAAATGCTAAAAACTCTAGAAAGATATTTAGAAGAAAAAGAACTGACTCTAAACGCAGATAAATCTAAAATGTTGGTCTTTTGTAGGAAAGAAAGAATTAAGCAAGAAAGGAACTGGAAATGGAAGGACAGCAAGATAGAAGAAGTGAGGGAATTCAAATATCTGGGATTCACATTTAAGAAATGCAACACCGATGAAGCACATGTAAAAGACATAGTGAGGAAAGCAACAGCAGCCATGGCACTGGTTTGGGGGATAGGCGAAAGAAAATTTGGAGGAGACTTCGACAGGAGAATGATGATGTTCAATGTCATGGTTAAAAGTATACTCTTATACGGAGTCGAAATATGGGGATGGAAAGAATGGAAGGAGATTGAAGCACTTCAAGAGAGATATATAAGATGGATACTGGGCTTAGACAGATGCACGCCAAGCTACATAATTAGAGAAGAAACAAAGATAGAACAAATCAGTATAGAAGCCGGAGGAAGAGCGATAAAATACCAGGAAAAAATAAAAGGAATGACTGATAACAAAATACTGAGAGAATGCAGAAGGGAAATTAGCGATAGAAAATGGGAAGACACACAATGGGGAAGAAGGATGCAGACGTTTTACAAGGAGGGCGGATCAAACCAGTGGACAAGAGAAGCAAGAGAGGAACAAGGAAAAGACACGATTGAAGAATGGACAACCAACTACAAAAAGAAAAAATTAGAGGAGAGAGAAAGGAAGATGGAGGGATCGAAGTCAACGAAAGAATACAACAGAAGGGAAAGAGCGAAATATTTATGCGGGGTCTACAATGCGTGTCTTAAGAGTCTTAAGAGTCGCAAGAGCCGTCGTAGCACGGTCATAGCACAGTCGTAGCATGGTCGTATTCGTAGTCGTTCGAATTGGTTCAATTCCTATTCCAACGACTACGACCACACCATATGTTGCTGCGACTGACCAATGAGAAAAGAATATTGTTAGGATTAGGTTAGATTAGGGTTAGGACATTACACACTGTACGCATTTCATTTCAACTAGCGAGAAAATAGCCCAAAGAGAGAGAAGAAGAAAGGAAAAAGATTATAAATTAACATTTTCATAATCATAGTTTGTGTGTTTTAAATATGGATTATAACGAATATGAATATTTGGAGTCGGAAAATGAAAAGGAAAACGAAGAGGAAAACGAAGAAAATTCAAACCAAATAGCAACCACCGTCTTGGAAGATAATAAAATTCAAGATGACTTGGATTTAATTGCGCTTGTTGAAGGCAACCCTAAACTTTATGCTAAAGGAAAAATTGGATATAAAAATGTACAAGAAAAAGAAATGACATGGATGTCTATTGGCAAAGCCCTAAAACATCCGCTAAGTGGTAAGTGCTAGTTGTTTATGTATAGGTTATACGTAAAATCATGTGTCAATGTCTGTAAACACATTCTATGATTTTTCTACAGGACCAGATGCAAAGCAGAGATGGGATACGCTGCGAAATCTCTATAGTCGCGCAAGGCGACAAATACACATCGACATTAACAGAACAACAAGGGCGGTCAGGTTCAGGGAGAGATAATGTGTCATATGAAAACTTATTAACACCACAAAGCATGGCTATTCATCGTTTTATGAGTCATCTGTATATTCCACGAAAGTAAATACTGATATTTTGACATTTATTTAATACTTCGATTTATTTAATTAACTTTATTTATTTCATTCACATTAAATTCCTTATTTATACTTGTACAACTGTTTTTTTATTAATTCAGGAAAATTATATTGCAGGACATTCTCCAATTATACCAAATTCACGTGTCCTTCACCTGCTTCTGGAAAAAGTTTTCTTCCCAGGCCTCTCTCCAAATCGTCAATGAGAAAACATCCACGACTACATATTTCAGATTCAGAAGAATCGATAACATTAAATTCGCCAGGGTCTTCCGTTTGTAAAGAAAACGTTCCTGCCAACAGTTTTACAAGTGAGTGATCAAATTATTTTTTTTTTCAGAGAAAATTCAATTTCTGATTATGAAAAAATGCACTTCTTATATCTGTAAAAAGTTTCAGAGAATAAGTTTAATAAGAGTATTGGTGGTGATGAAATAAGTGATTGCTCACTCACAGTACCTAAATCGGATATTAAAAAAAGAAAGAAAACTAATGTTGATAATATAGATTCTGTAATTAAAGAATCATCTCAAACAATAGCTGCAGCTTGCTCAGCTTTGCCAACATTCCTGAATGCAACTTCCAAAGCAGACACAGAAGAAGATAAATATTTTATGTCATTCTTGTTACATGGATTAAAATGTGTGCCTGAACAACAAAAAATAAGATGCGTGATCAAAATGTTAGAGGTATTAGAATCATTTCAACAATATTGAATAACAAGACTATGTAATCAAACAGAAAAATTAATCACAGCTACTAGTTTATTCGCTAAAATAAGTTTTCATAAATCTTTATAAGTTTTCATTCATTTCTTTTTTTGAAAAAAACGTGGTACAAATATATTTTGTTATTGTTTTGGAGTTTTATATAAAATATTAAGTGTTAAGTTACAAAATTGCAATTTCAAATTGCAATTTTACTAAAAGATTATTTCTGAAAAGTATTTTTCTCATATTGACTGTGATTTTATTTCTTTACTAATTATATTTTACATTATTTTAAATAGTTTATAGTATGTCACAATATTTTAATTTTAATAGTGATTAACATTGGATACGTTCAGTAGAGAAAGCAGCTTTGCAACTGTGGTAAAATTCGTAAATCTTGGCGTGTGCTCTTAATTTTAACTGAATCTAAGAGTATTCGCCAATCAGAATTTTACAACAGTTGCAAAGCTGCTTTTTCTGCTGAACGCAGCCATTAATAAAAGTCATTGGACATGTACGTCGAAACGGCTAACATATTTGATGAGCGATTGAATGTGATTGATTGGATCTACAAAAAAGAACCAATTACATTCAATCACTCAGCGAGCTGCCTTGCCATCTAAAACATATCTCATTTTCTATTGTCTCAGTATACAAAACATGTATAATTTGCCAAATATGTGGATACAAATAAACTGAGTATTTATAATTTAGTATTTAGTCAACGACTTCTTCGAAAGCGAATCAAAATTTTTCACAAATGTGACAAGAGTATAATTTAATTAAGCAAAGTTGCGTAGCTCAATATATAACTAGTGTTAAGATGTTCTTCAGATATAGTATAAATATTTAATATTTGAGACTGCAACAAAACAAAGAGTTTGATTTTGCAATATTAAATCTGTAAGTTAAAGAATATATTTTGTTTTATGCAATAACGTTACGTAAGAAAGCATGTGTTTCTATAGAAAAAAGTGAAGATTAAATAAAACCATATTTTACGTAAATTAGTATTTTATTTCTAAACTTCCTTGCTAACTCACATACATGTTTATACATATTGCATTGCTATGAAGAGATATTAATGTTGTAACCCCTCAATGCACAGTCAAATTGCCAGTCAACTGCCCCAATGTTTGTCATAAAATATTTTCTCAGTATGTCTCGTTGAACACTTGCAGTGTAAGCAGTTCGGTTTGAGCCAACTTGACTAATACGTACAATATGTGATCCTAATTCTTCATTGCGCCATTGCCCTGGAGTAATTATACCATTAACTTCCTGATCCACAAAATGTAGCGGACAATATTTGCGTTCATTAAAGGACATAATGTAGTTGTGCAAAACAACAAGAGCAAGCACAATTTTATGAGCAGTTTCTTCCTTGCATTGAATTGATCTTCTTAAAATTCTCCATCTAGAAGTAAGAATCCCGAAAGCATTTTCAATTGTTCGTCTTGCTCTGGACAAGCGATAATTAAAAATTCGCTGTGAATCACTGGTGAGCGATTTTCTTGGATATGGTCTCATGAGGTACGTTTTGAGAGGGAACGCTTCGTCTCCCACTAAAGTACAGGGCAGCAAAGTTGTTGTACCAGGCAATAATTTTGGAGCTGGGATGTCTACTGTACCAGATTCCAAACTTCGACCAAGATTACTGTTCGCCCATACTCCACCATCGCTATTAGAACCTGCAAAACACAATTTCAATTAACTGTTGTATTCAGTACATAAGAAGAGATTCATATTATAAATATATATTACCATAGTCACCGACATCAACCCAGATAAATTTATAATTGGCATCACAAATTGCCATCAATATAAAGCTAAAAAATCCTTTGTAGTTATAATTTAAAGAATGACTGTTCGGTGGAGCTTGAATAGTGATGTGTTTCCCGTCTAGTGCGCCTATACAATTAGGAAAATTCCACTTGTTCCAAAATCCATCAATTATCATTTCCCATATCTCTTTCGAAGGTTTGGGTAAATATTGCTCATGAAGAGCTTGCCAAATTGCATCGCAAGTTTCATATATAATTTTATATATAGTTGATTTGCCAATTCGGAAATCCCATGCTTTTGACTTGGCACTGTCACCATGAGCAAGGAATCTAGAACAATAAAAAAGGATACTATTTAATAATATAAGCTAAATTATCTAAAAAAGAAAACGATAACATTTCATTTACTTACAAGAGAGTAACAGCTACTCGTTCATTTACTGAAATAGGTTCTCGTAAACTTCTTTTTGTGAGCAGAGATCTGACAAGATTACATAAATGATCATATTGAGAAGGTATCATTCGTGTCATATTAAAAAATTCTTCATGATCTGTTTCATATGCTTCTTTAAATTGTTTATTGAAATATCCCAAATCGTTTCGAGTTCGGTTGATAGGTCTTATCCACCATCTCCTTTTATAGCGTCTCTTTCTTAAATATATCGATGTCACATGCAAATATGCACCAGATAATAATAATATAGTAAAAATTACACGCAATTGCAAGCAATTCATATTTAAAAACTTTATGGACAGCCTCTCACTAACAGAACGCCTATGGACCTATGGATAACCTCTCACTAGCAGAACGTTGTTTTCTGGGGTGCGTTCCAATACCCTACCTTGGTTACTAAAAAGCTATAATTTACGTTACGTATATTATAGATTTTAGTAACCAAGGTAGGGTATTGGAACGCACCTCTGATTGGTTGTTAGCGATTTGCGAAAAGCTATTGTAGACAAGCATCATGACATTGCGACTCTGCGACTCTACGACTGTACGACTCTGCGACTCTACGACTCTGCATTGTAGACCCCGCTTTAGAGCGGAAAGGAAAGGACACAAAGCTGAAGACAATCGCAAGGTTCAGATGCGGAAATGAATGGAGAGGCAATAGATATTGGGAGAAGGAAGAAAAAAAAATGTGCAGGCTATGCGAGGAAGGAGAGGAATCATGGCACCATATATTTAGAGAATGCCCGGAATCAAGAGCAGACAACCTGAGCGAAGAATTTATTATGGCAGAAGACGATAAAGGAATAGACTGGATGCGGAAGTTGTGCAATAAAAGAAAAGAAAGAGAAAAACTGAGCCAAGTAATAAGTGGATAAATAAGTGTATGAATTAATGTATGAATTAATGTATAAATGTATAAAATAAGTGTATAAAGTAATACAGAAAAGATGTAAAGGTAAAACACAGAACATGTATCCCGAGAAGGGAATCATTATCTTTAATAAAAAAAAAAAAAAAAAAAATTATATTATATGAAATTTACGATTGTAAATTGCACGAAAAATAATTTAAAATAATTTATCTTGGATAGAAAATTATAGATGAAAAAAAAACTTTTAAACGACTTGGTACTGCGTATATTAAAAATCTGTAATATACGTAACATGTATTACAGATTTTCAGTACTAATAGTGAAATTTGGAACACTATGTATACCATAACATATGGTTACATGAAATAGATATTATGATTTTACGAACTATATTTTCATGTTATATCAACTATATTTTTTATAGTAAAATGCACTATTATATATGCTTGGCGCCTTAAGATACTATAAATTATAGTGCAATTATGGTAATTTTAACTATAATTTTTTATCAGTGTAATGTTACTTGATATTTTACTATATTAATATTTCACATTATCATGATTTACAATAAAATTTTTACCCTGATTGACAGAAATATTCGCATAATGTTATTTTTACCAACATAATAGTAACAATAACTATAAAAATGATAATTGCAACTATAATTATTTAACTGTGCAATTATAGTTGTAAATACCAAACACTTTTCTCTCAGTGTGCGCAAACGTTACCGTTACAAACATACATAGACAACTTTGTAAATTACGAGTTCCAGCTACACAGGCCGAATTCTAATTTATCGATCTCGTACTGGCTGTTATCGATATTTATGTTTCTGCGGAAAATCACCATTTTCCTTCGTTTTTCACGAATCCGCGATGCTGCGATTTCGCGATTTAGCAATGGAAGTGTATCTATGCGACAGATCTGTCTCCCACGAGATTTATGCAAAAAAGGAATACATTTTATAGATGTGTTTTACAAAAATGTCAATGTATACCAATATATATGTCATTTAAAATATGCATTTAATTTAAAATAAAACACAGAAAAAAACAAATATAATACAAATAATATTTTATGTGAAGGAATTAAATTTAAAGTTGTACGATAATGTGGCGATCTTTCAAAATACACTACATCTTTCAAATGTATAATTAAAACATTTATCACTTAAAATTGAAAATAGACAAAGAAGAAACATAAAAATATTATTTTGTATAACAAAAAAAAATTTAATTTAATTAACTTTGTTGACAAATTTAAACTGCTACAGATATAAAAATATAATCACAGTATTGTAAATCGATTCAAGTATACGATGAATATATTTCGTCGATTGAAAATTATTTCGAAAAGAAAGATTCTAGTTACCAAAAAAAAAAATCGAAAACAATTCATTAATCCAAAGAAAGAAAACTTGTTACAGCAAATGAAGATGAAAATTAAAACAGCAATCATGATCCACTATGGTGTCCTCTAATCATCGAAATAGATATCTACCAATCTTGACACCTTAATATATGATGCGTGTATTATTTCGAGAAAAAGATATTCATTTTCCAGCACAAAACTCGTGGGAAATGTTGATTGCATCAATTGAAACTTTCTTTTAATTCTATGAATAAGAGGCAAAAATTAACTGTTTTATTAGCTTTGCACACATATATTTTATGGATAAACGTTTTTATTGTGATTGCACATGATAGAGGATGCTTACATACGTTAAATTTGGGTATATAGAGTTCTGATTTATGAGATTTTTTTTATGTGTACATTGTCATAATTAAACTTAATGTTTACATAATATTTTCCTCATAATGTTGAACGTATAATATGCATAACAATTTTCTTCGATTGTTCCCACTGCATCATCTTATTACACTCTTGCAATATCCACGTTATTTTTAAACGGCTGTTTGCATTTTCGGGATGAATCTTATATGAACCGGATGAGCAGGACGTATTACTAAATCAAGCAACAATCGAATATTTTTTAAATACTCAACAGGTTCCAAGTAAAAATTATGTATCAAAGGAGCTATCATAGCTTTCATCATCAGCAAACCGAGACGTTGACCTACAATTCGAAATTTATGATAAATTATCGATACGAAGAGAAACGAAAATCGCGATCAATTCACCTATGCAATTTCTCGGTCCTGCGCTGAATGGTATATAAGAATAAGGATGACGATTCTTTATCCTTTCGGGTAAGAATCTGTCCGGATCAAATACATCTGGATTTGGCCAAAAATTGGGATCTCTGTGAACTCCGTAGATATTAAGACATAAGGTCGTTCCAGCGGGTATGATATATGATTCTGAAAATTATTATAAAATTGAAAAATACTAAAATTCACGAAAATAAGAGTTTCTTTGAGAAAAATAAAATATAACAATATTGTATTCTTAAAATACTAATTAATCTTACTAATCTCGTTCAATAATATATCATTCATATTATGTAACATATTCAAAAATATATGTAGCAAAAAGCGACTATAATTATGTAATTTTACAGCATCCCCAGTCTTACGTAATATGCAAGACGCGCTGGGATACAAACGTAACGCTTCCTTTAAACATCTGTCTAAATATGATAAATTTTGTAATGACTTCATGTCAAGTTTTCCTCCATTCTCTTGCATCACAGTATCGACTTCAGCCCTCACACGCTCCTGTGTCATCAATAATATAATGAAAATGTATTTCTCAATTCTGATTTTTAGTGCACAGTTAAAAATGAATTCTTAATGAATCAAATTCTAATATATCTAGGAAAAATATATCGTAACAAGAACTTGATACCTTTATTACGTTGAATAAAAGTCTTAAATTATATATCGCAATATATTGCTAGAAATAGGTACCTGGATATCTTTATGCTCAGCTAAAAGAAGTAAAGCAAACATTATGCCCGTCGCTGTAGTATCATGACCCTATAACCATCATCATATGCATATCGTTATATTGTTATACATACTTATTGTTAGATATTATGTACAAAAAAATAAAAAAAGTTTACAGAAACTTACTCCAAATATAAAAGTGTCAACTTCTTCTCTGATATCCAAATCAGTTAGAGAATTTTCTCGAGATGCCACTATTAAAAGGTCCAACAGGCTAGCCTATTTTTTTTAACTAAAAAAAACATATTACTTACAATTTCACTTTTACATGCCACACTTTCATTATACAATAACAGTTCTTGTTTAAAATTCAAACTTTATTACAAATAATAATGATTTAATTTTACAACAAACACATGTTGTATTATTACATGTGATTATGTGTTTAATATAAATAATGCAAGCATAATATGTATAATATTAAATTAATTGCGCAGCTAAACTTAAATTAGAAGTTCTGATCTCTTACGTACTTCCAAACACGTCGAAATTTTTTATCTCTTCGTTACTATCAAAGTTATTTAAGTATCGGTCATTGGTGCGTTCGTGATAAAGTTTTCTTTCCGCGATGATCTATACAAGTACAATATTTAATTTTTGACAAGATTTTTTATATTAAAGCAATGGTATTGTAAATAAGTGCTATTTATAACATAATATTAATATTTACAATAAATAATGTAATTCTACAAAGATTACGAGATTTATTTTACATATAAAAGTGTTGTAAAGTTTAAAATAATGTGATAACGTACTTTTTCCGTAAATCCATGCAATATTTTCAAGACTTTCTTTTGCTTTCTTCCTTGTGGTGACAATAAGAATAATAAATCATTATACAACCAAGGCCTAAATATTCTAAACCGAAATTCAATAAAATTACATATTTTCAAATGATATAACTTCAATAATGTTGTTTTGTAAAAGTCTTAATTAAAGCCATCATGAAATTAATTTAATCTTTAATAATCGTAGATTATAAAGAATATATAAAAAATTAAAATCTATATATCTATATATCTATATGTTACAGAAAAGTAGAATTTGTACTAAAAACTTTTTATTTTATCTAAGCTATAGAGTTTTGATCAAAGATAATTTCATTACAAATTTTGAATACATTTATTTTTCTCTTTATTATTCTGATATTTTTAACATTTTAAAAATTACAAATAATTTTGTAATGAAATATTTAGTGATACACATACAATAGATTTTGATTAATAATTATCTACTTGTAAACGAAGTGCCGTTTTCACTAATTTCACCTTTACGTAATTATTCATTAATTAATTTATTTTTCAAAATGTATAATGTAATGTATCACAGTTAAAAGATCATAGATAGATTAAAAGTTAGAAAATATGATTATAAGTTAAAAGATATGGATTATAAGTTAAAATATCATACAATTATGTTCTATATCTATAAATTACCTGTAAATAAATAATTCGGTTATATCGTGAATCGCATTTCGATACTTTTGTTCCAACTCGCTAAATTTTTGCAAAGAGACGCCCATGATAGTTTCTACAAATGCATTTAATTAAAACAATCGAAGATTATTTACAGGTGAATATTTTGTAGATTACTTTTTTTCAAAAATATTGAATATTATCTATTTTTCCTTGTTGATTATTGATACTTCATATAGAACATTATTCTGTTTTTATTTTAAGCTATAATTATTTAGAATAAAGTTCCTCTATACATAATGCAAAAGAAGGATGACTTACCGCATATCGCATTTAGCGTATGTTTACTAATAAATGGTAATAAATCTTCTACAACTGTCCCTCCGACATGTTTCAAAGATTTTGTCATGTACTCGCCCTCCTTGATTAAAATATCAACATATTTAATATATTAAACATATTTAATATATTAAAATGGAACGCAGGTGTTAACATCTTTCGCCGCGCCCGCCACTTAATCGCTAAAACAGAAACAAGATAACACAAAATTGTGCTATAAAAGAGAAATTGCAAATATCAACGTAATAATAATTAATATAAATGTAATTATTATTTTGTAATTAAATGTTTATGAATTGGCAGATAGAAATAAATTATTATAAATATATAATATATAAATATATAATATATAATATAATATATAATATACATATAATATATATAATATATTTAATAAATAATATGCATATAATATATATATATTTATATTACGTATAATATATAATATATAAATTAATAATAATTAAGTCTATTACTGATAGTACAATCTATTCGTGGTGGTGTATCTGATTTAACTAAAAAAATATCTCTAAAATTACCAGATAAAAATAAATTACTATAAATATCTAAGGTATAATAATAATATAAATATATAAATATATAATAAATATATAATATATAAATTAATATTAAATCTATTACTGATATTACAATCTATTAGTGATGGAGTTTGATTTAACTAGAATATTTATTTTATCTATTTCTTCTATTTATAACAATATATACATGCGAAATATCGCAGCGAAATTATCTCACCTGAAAATTTCTTTTTTATTAATTTTTGTAAGAAAGAGATAAATTCACTATTTAGTATAATATTCTATTAATGTTTTTATCTTTAATAACAACAAGTATTATATTTTTAATTTCAAGTTTATATTTAATTTAGACTTGCATACATAGATGACAGTTCATCAGAGCTTTTTTTTACCGTAGTGTACTATTAAAAGTACTTTTAATAGTTGTTGTTCTACACTTCCCGCGAAATTTCGCTTGTAAAAAGAAAGCTAATTTTGTAATCAGTCTAATTAATAAAGATTTAATAAAAGGAATCACAGCACAGTGACATCTATATTTTGCAGTTATCCTCAGTTATATTGTGCACCGCTGCGGATTAAAGATAAAACTAGATATGTAATATATTTAAGTCTAATTGTAACATTTTATTTGATTTTCTGTGATCTGGCTTGTAAACGAAGTGACGTTTCATAACAAATTGTAATAGACTAGACAATACAAAGCGCGAGCTTTGCGCGCGCCATTTATTCCCTTTTATTATATATACATTTCTCACTGTCACACAAGCTATCAAAATTTGTAATAATCGCAAATGACAGCTGCTCACAACATGAATTGAGCGCAATAAAAGAATCAATCGGCATCGCGGAAAAGAGGCAACAATACTTTGAGACTTTCAAGAATCGACTTAACATGCCTTTTTTAGAATGGGATTATATTATATGAATCTATGATGCAAGGAGAAGAACGACCTCCTTCATTCAAACAAGCCATACAAGAAACAATTAAAAAACAGGCTCTAATAAACTTCCAAATTGAATTGCGAGACGAATTAAAAATTGTCGTGCGTTCACAAAGATACATCACGTTCCAAAAAGCGATAAACGACGCGAGCGCGGAAGAGAAGCTTATCGGACCGTCTATTACACGAGCACCCGGCTTCTCTAATAAAAATTAATTTGATACTGAACACGAGCGACCAATTCGAGACATAAACAATGCTATAAATGCGGAAATTCGGGGCACTACATTAGATATGTAGATGTGGAGACATGGAGAGATGGAGATATGGAGATGTGGAGAAATGGAGAAGTGGAGATGTGCCATCTCGAGACTGCATTGAAGTTATATTTTTAATTTTAATTGAACTGGGAAACAACTTTTGGGAAACAATCATAATATATTACGATCTATAAGATAAATGACTTGATAATTTTTATAAAAATAAATAGGAAAAGATGCATGCGACCATGTTTACAGATATGGAGATGTGGAGAAGTGGAGATATGTCAACTCGAGACTACGTTGAAGTTATAATATTACTTTAAATTGAACTGTTTTGAGAAACAATCATAATATATTACGATCTATGAGATGAATGACTTGATAATTTTTATGAAAATATATAAAAGATGATGCATGCGATCATGTTTAAATGAGTATACAGATATGGAGATGTGGAGAAATGGAGAAATGGAGAAATTGAGATATGGTGAAATGGAGATGTGGAGATGTGGAGAAGTGGAGATATGTCAACTCGAGACTGCATTGAAGTTATATTTTTAATTTAAATTGAACTGTTTTGGGAAACAATCATAATATATTACGATCGACGCGATGGCTGTCATGATAATTTTATGAAAATGAATAGGAAAAGACGCACGCGACCATGTTTACAGATATGAAGATGTGGAGAAATGGAGAAATAAAGAAATAGAGAAATGGAGAAATGGAGAAGTGGAAAAATGGAGAAATGGAGATGTGAAGAAATGGAGAAATAGAGAAGTGGAGATGCCATCTCGAGACTGCATTGAAGTTATATTTTCAATTTAAATTGAACTGTTTTTTAAACTTTATATATATATATATATATATATATATATATATATATATATACATATAACGATACATAAAATACGTTATATGTTAAAATGAATAGATAAGTTGTGTTATTTTTCTCTCTAACAGTTTCCATATATTAAATCAACATATCTCTTCTGTTAATTATCATAAAAATGTAACAATAACATTTCCTTTTAATTAAATTTAACATTATAAATATATTATTTAACATAAACTTTATTTCAAATTTAAATGTTACACTTTTGTGTTAATTTTTAAACATATTACTTGTGTATATTACTTTTAAACATATTGCTTGTGTTATTTATTTACATACTTGCCTTCTGTTAAATTAACATTAAAATTAGAGTGGATAAATTGTGACAAGTAAAATATATTAAATTTCACACAAATTTTTACTGTGTAATTAAATTTTCTTTCAAATTATTATTAAAAAAATAATTAAAGAAATTTACAAACGTTTATAAAATTAATAATAAATATACAAAAAACAGAAATACATAATATAATAATTTACAATATATATGGAAAAGTTAATTTTTTTCATACAAAATTATAAAATACAATTTACAGTATAAAATATGTAGAATTATTAATAGAAACGAAATATATAAAAGCAATAATGAAAAAAATATAAGAATTTATATTTTAAATTTTAATTTAAATAAATGATATAAAATTCAAGTACTTACACGGTCGAATCATTAATTCGAATATTATCTAATATTTTATTAGAAAACAGAACTTCCATTCCATCTAATTGTTCAAATTCAGATAATTTATCTACTTCTTCATACATTCTTTCAAATTCCTTTTGATCCGACATATCGCTTCTACTAAGATGATTTCTTCTTCTAAAGTATACTTCTTATAAAATCTACTTTTTCTGTTTTTTCATAACAACTTATTAATCGCATAACAATAGCATAGCATAATTATACAATAATAAAAATATTTTTCTAACACACTATTAATCTATTAATATAAACGATTACCCGCGATGACAGTCGATTTGTACTCTGAATATATATTCATAATGAGAGAGAATCGACATAACCAATCAACATCGCGGAAAAGCGGCAATAATACATGCGAGAATCGATTTAACATGCCTTTTTAATAGTGGAAAAGTATATATGTACTTATATATATATTAACATTATTATATTTTATTATTTTATTATTATATTATATTATATATTATATTATATTATATTGTATTATTATTATATTACCTGTACTAGTGCCGAGACCTGTATTTAACCAAGGATGAGCAATATTATACAGAAAACTTTTCTCGATGTGCTTAGTGCTGCTTAGTATCGTCTGAAATCATTGGAAACAGAAAGAAATATATATTATTCACTTATTACATTACTGAAATATCTTAGATATACTGATATCTTAAATACACTATAATCTTCGATGCACAAATAATTTATAAATTGTATCTCTGTATTTTATTCTAACCTCGATGGAGTATCAATTTGGATTTCATTTTTTTTAAGAAACACTTTTTATCAGTAAAAATCTTTTTGTAAATCGCAAAACTCTTCAATCTAATTCAATCGTAATGTGTACAGAGAATGAAATTTCTTTTATTACCTCTAAATCGTCTGGATGACGGATACCCACTCCATATATAAAAAAAAATCCGAATTTAATAATGGGATAATATTCATCAGGTAATTTACAGAAGAGCTTCCATAATTTCTCTGAAAATTATATTATAAACATCAATACACAAATATTTTGACTAATTTTATTTTCAACATTAATGTGCACTTCTATCCAAATACGTTAAAAACAGATAAATAATAAAAGAAAATGAATTGCAAATTGTTGTTGCAAAGAGAAGTAATTTACATATAATAAACTTGATAAATATATGTTTCAGAATAAATGATTTATGAATTTTGTACACAGATTTTGTTTGTCAATTAATGTAAATAGCTTAGAAATTTTGTATTTACCTGCTGACACATAGCATTGGAGCGCATTGCCAATAATCGGAAAACCCGATGGTCCCGGTATAAGATTAAGAAGTTGCCCGTATTTTTTATGATACACATAATAATTATATACCAATAAAATAAACATTGAAAATATCAATATAGTAATGAACATTGTTTCTTAACCGTCCTGATGTTTCTTGATTTGATTAAACTTCTTCCGTTTATTGTTTTTTATTCTTCGTACATATATAAAATGTCATATGCAAAATAAATATTTTTTAATTTATATAAAAATAGATATTCGATTTTCGACAATATTCGTAATTATCTTGATAAGTTAAATAATATAATTATTAAATAATATAGTTAAATAATATAGTTAAATGATATAGTTAAATAATATAATTATATAAACTATAATTATTGTTTAAAAGCTTATTTATTTATTTTATTTGTTCTTTTTGTTTATTTAATTATAGCGTATTGATTTTGATATCTAATAATATCGTATTAAACATTTTCTCAAAATTAATATAATGTGCATTTTAGAAGATAATAATATAATAATATAAATAATAATATAATAATATAAATATTGCAACATATTATACAATAATTTAATAAAATTATGACAATCAAATAAAATTAACAACTTATAATATTTGAAAGAAATTTGTGTTAAAATCATATTTCGTTTCACATTAATTATGATATTAAATTAATTATGATATTAATTATGATATTAACAAGATTGGGATTTTGCAATAAAATTATTATAAACTTTTATTTTATACAAATTTTATAAAGATTACCGGATATATATACTGGATACAAAAGAATATTGTTGAAGTGTTTTTTATTGCTTATGTTTTTTTGTCTTATTTTTTAACAAAAAATAATGTTATTACTTTTGAAAATTGCTTTTAAGAATAAGAACAGATACAAGTACTATTACAGAATTGTATTCATTTGATTTAATATGTTTTTGAAATATTAAAGATGTTATACAAAGAAAGTATAAATCCGAAACTAATATAATATAAGAAAGAAGATATTATAAAGATGATAAAAGATTTAATTATTAGTAGAATATATGTATATGTAACATATAAAATACATAATCATATATATTGCAAATCATTTATCGGATATAACATTTTGGTTATATTAAAATATATTCCATAATGGTCTAATTAAAATATACTCCATAATGGTCTGATTATATGCTCTATATATATCATACTGGTATATATATGTATATCCCAGTGAACACCAAAAAACGGCGATAAGAATGGATTGGTGTATAGCATATAAGAATCTTAATTATTTGAATGCAACTTTTGCTCTTGCATTTACAAATAATTAATTTAATAAATATACTGAGAAAAAAATATAGTTGCCGTTATCATAATTTAACTATAAAGTATAGTTATTTTTGGCGGCAACTACATTTATATAGTTATTTTAACAATGTGATTTATAGCAAATCCAATAATATATTATTGCTATTGTAAAATTAGTATATTTTCATGTAACTATATGTATGGTACACACATAACTGTCATTTTTACATGGTAAGTGATACTATAAATATGATGCTACTAAAATGAAAGTAAAAGGAACTATATACTATAATAATAAATTGTACTTATATTAATGGTAAAATATTATATTTTTTATATATAATTAAGTTAACAATGTATGTAGTTCTCATAACTTTATAGTTTATAAGGTACGTTCAATTATGAAAAAATTAAGAAAAATTTAAGAAGAATTTAATTATATAATATAATTAAACTAATAAACAATAATGCTAGGAAGAGCGCTGTGATGTGCAGCACACGTGGCTCTCTGATGTACATACATGTAAGCAACGTCCTCTATTCAAGTATTACTACTAGTAAGAGGAAAAAAATATACTTTAGACTTCGTCTGAGTACCAATCCTTCATACACATTTCATGAAAAATTGAATAGTCATCATTTATGATGTCGCCGCGTCATAATTTTTTTATTTTTATTTTTTTTTATTATTTTATTTATATATATGTATATAACATGTATTATTTATTATGTTAAATAAATATTCGGCATACTAATAATGTTACACACTTTTCATGTTTCATAGCTTTACAAAATCGGTTTTTCTACCTGCTGGATGCTCCCACCGTTAAAGTATCGTTACAGAAAATGTTACGCGGGGGGGGGGAGGGAGAAGGGTCTTGTGATCCTGTCAAAGATTCTAGAAGATCGATTAGAAAATATCTTACTTATATATTTGTGTGTGTGTAATATATTTATTACGTATTACATATTTTTGCAAAAAATAATGAGTAATAAATTAAATAGATAGATAAAGAAATAATTACATAATAGATACATAAAGAATTAAATAGATACATAAAAAAATAATTAGTTAAAGATAAAAATAAAATAAAATAAATACATTTTTATTTGTTACATAATATATACAATAATATAAATATAATATAATATATACAATTCGTCATATAACAATTCTCTTAAGAAAATAACCAGTATATTGAAACCGTTTCACTAACTGGTCAATTGATCGATTTTTATCAGTAATTAAATCGGAAAAACTGTTTCAATATACTGATTATTTATTTTAAATGTTTATTCATTGTCGCCGCGATGTTAACGTACGGAATAAACGGAATACATTCGTAAGTTACAATTTATTATTAATAAATAGTTGATTTGACCATTGCTCTTTCATTATTCGAAATACTCGATTATACGATTGGAATATAATTAGAATAAAATTTCAAAACACGTATTTCGCGTGATGCGTTCATTTAATTAAAAAGAATCGAATGCAATTAAGAATCGATGTGTGTGACTGGAATCAAAATTATAAATTTTGTTGCAATCCTTAGGAACAATAATTATTCTTCTTTTAATATTTATAATTAAGAATATTTCGTCCGATGCTTTATCATATAATTATGTGATGATTTAAATATATATAATTCGTCTGAGAACGCGCAGTAAAACGATCGAATGGCAAAATCGAATAATTAATGTAATGGAAAGCCTTGCGATGTATATTAATCGTTTAATAAATAATTAATCTGTGTGTACATGTGTGTGTGACTTCAAAAATATACTTGTATATAAATTCAATTATCGTATATGTACGTCATAGTACGCATAAAATATTTCGGCAGCGAGGTCAATAACACGACGTTCGGCCTTGATGACGTAGCGCTGTATTGTTTATATAGGCGAAGCCCTTGTATCATTCGCACGGCGACATTCCAGTAGTAAAGTAGTGATACGGAACACTTCGTATAATTGAATTCTTTTTCTAACAGTGCGATCGTGATTAATATCAAAATATGATTCGCTATGACTATTACAACTAACAATTAATTAACTCTTAATAAATGAAACTATACATGAAACTATATGGCGATGATATATCCATCGAAACGCGATCCTTCATTATTCCAAATAAAAATTGAAACAAAAGAGGCAAAAATTATAAATATATAGACGACCTTATATTATTCACACGGCATTCCAACGGCAGAGTAATGATACAAAATGCTTCGTATTATTGAATTCTTTTCCTAAACGCGATCGCGATTAGTATTGAAATATAATTCGCTACGACTATTGTAGAGCGAATCGTACTTCTTTATCCCTTATACGATATATTAATGTGCGTTTCTCGTAATTATTCCGCGATCGGGAGTGGCGTGCAAAAGTTTCGCGATCGTTTCTATAGTATATGACTAAATATAATTAATTGTTTGTTCGCGAGTGAATATGAGTGCTATGAGGAAACAGTAAAAGCTGAAGAAGAAAAAAGAAGGACATCTGGAAAAGTATCGGACACTCAGAGAGCAGTGAAAGAGCCTGAAGCAGTCAGAGAGATATGTGGTGAGTAACTTGTAAAAATTATTTATTTATTATTATTATTTATATATGTATTATTTTCAAAATAGCTATATTGCTTATTATATATATATATATATATATATATATATATATACTATATGTTAAAGTACGTTAAAATATTTCGATGACAAATATATTAAAAATAAATTAACTTATGGTAAATGTCATGAAAATATATCTTTATCAACGATATATCTTTATCGAATCGCAATCATTAATTACTGCGAATAAAAATTGAAAAAGGGAACATAAAAGAGGATAAAGAAATTAATTTTATTATGATCTTTCGATTATTGATGCTTATTATAATAATTTCTCTAACGATACTTATTAAAATTGAATAAATTTCGACCAATGCTTTAAATTTTCTTAATCTACAATCATTCATAGAATATTTCAACGACGTTTTATGACTTACGATCATTTGCACAGTAACCTTGAACAATAAAGT